ACTTTCCTCAATATAAATTTTCAATGCGATGGCCACATTACAACTGCTGCGGTATCATTTTAGCTAAATTTTCAATGCCTCTCGAGTCTCGAAAACTACCATACCCGTCCCAGTGAAAGTAGGCCCCATTCTTCCTTGACCTAGGCGAGTAGCGTAAAGGGGTTTGCTTCACTTCAACACCGTCACAAAATCGTCACAAAATCACAGCATTAGATAACAATTAGTAACAAATTTACAATTGAATATTTAACATGGTATAAAAAGAAAAAAGGTTTATATTTTTGCATCTTTAAATATAAATTAAAGGTATAATAAATGTATATATTTTATAATTAATTTATATAAAAATTATAAAAATTAATATTTATTTTAATGTTATTAATATATAAATAAATTTAATTAATTTATATAATAATTAATTTTTATTTTAATATTATTAATATGTAAATAAATTTAATTAATTAATTAATTAAATTAAAATTATTATTTATTTTTTTTATATAATTTTTTTAAATAAATTGTCAAAAGACGAACTTTCATAAAAAAAAAAATACACTCAAACCGACATACTGCCAATTGAATCGAATGATCCGGTGCATTCTTTTTGTATAAATTAATTTTTAGAAAACACATTAATTATATCCATTAACTAATACCTAACAATAGTGTTGGAAAAATCTAACAAGAAAATCACAGCCTCAGACTTTCTCGAAACCATAGTGGTGGCTATTACAGTCCACCATCACCTACTTACCATACCCATATGTATCCTTAATCACGGCCATCCAAAAAATTTAAAACTCATCCAACGGATCAGATCTTTACATGTGGTTTAACTTGGATAGCAGATGATTACAAAACACCGTCAACTAGACTGAAGTGGCAATATACCTAATTTAATCAATGTTCTAAAATTCCACCGCTACGAAACATCCCTATCGGAGAGAACCCATGAGAAAATAATTAGCCATGTTCTACCGGCTCGCCGTAGTGCTGTGCCTCCTGGTGAACTC